GAAAGAGAGAGAGAGAGAGAGAGAGAGAGAGAGAGAGAGAAGGAACTCGTAGTTTTTTTGGTAAAAGTTTACTGTTTTATTTCTTTCAGAAGATACATTGGTCCCAGCAGCACCAGAAGTCCCAGGAGGCCAAGTACCGGCGCTTCCAGCAGGAGTATCAGGAGAAGTTTGGCAAATCTTTCCAGGCCCATGGGTCACGTTGTGGGAGTGATGGTGAGATGAGTGGGTGGGTGTGTGAGAGGAGGAGAAGGTTGAAGAAAAAGAAAAGGAGGAGGAGGAGGAGGAGGAGGAGGAAGAGGAGGAGGAGGGGGGATTGATAAGTGAGGGACAGGTGAAGGTCGAAGAGGAAGAGAAAGAGGAGGAGGAGAAACTGACGAATAAGGACGAGGAGGAGGATTGATACGTGAGAGAAAAATTGGGAACGAGGAGGAAGGGAAAGAGGAGGAGGAGAAAGAGGAGAATGAGGAAGAGGAGGAGGAGGAGAGGAGTATTAGTAGTAGATGAAGGGGAAGTAAACGGAGGAGGAATAGGAGGAGGAGAAGGAGAGAAAGAAGAGGAGAAGGAGACAGAGGCTGAGGAGGTGGGATAGGGGGAGAAAAAGGAGTAGGTGGAGAGCAGGAGAGAAAGAAAGAGAAGGAGGTGGAGAGCAGGAGGGGGATGAGGGAGTAGGGGGGAAGACGGAGAGGAGGAAGAATATAGGGAGAATAGAGAGGGTAACAGGAAAGAGGGGAGGGTGAGGAGGACTGGAGGAGGTGCATTGAAGAAAAGGGAGAGGATAAGAAGGAGCATCAGCATCAGCAACATTCGGAGTAAAGAGGTGAGGGACGAGTATGAAGAGGATAACATAGAAGAGGGGAAGAGGCAGCAGAAGCAGCATCATCAAAAGATGTTATGCTAATTTAGGGTAACAATGTAAATGCTGATGCCAGACATCACATCAGCCATCCTTATCCTCTTACCGCACCTAATAAACTCCTTCCCCCACCCCCATAAACACACACACACACACACACACACACATAAACACACACACAC